CTGCCAAAAGGTGAAAGCGAAGTAAAGAGGAGTAAGCAGACAAAAAGGTCAAAGAGAAGTAGGCAGCCAATAGGAAAAAACCTAGCATAAGATTTGTTTTTTTTTTATTTTTTTTTAAAGTGACGTTAACAGTCGGCTTTAAACTTTTGACACTATCATTTTTAACAGCCTATAAAAGAGATAGGACAGATGGCAAAAAAGCACGGATGGGGCACGATAGCGAGGCAGAGGATATGTATCCTTACTGTGTAGGATGATGGCCAATGGTAGACAAGCTAAAGCTTAGGAATTGACAGTTGGATGCGCGACGACCATACATAATGCAAACCTAATTGTCGTTTTGATTAGGAACATGCGTAGGATAAATGTTTGGTGAGTTTCCAATAGAAGAGAGAATAAACCACGACGCTCTTAAGGAAAGGGAAAAAGATGATTGGTCCACTCCCTCTTTTCCAGACAATCATAATTTCCCTTTTCCTAGGAGATAAACAGCCAAGTCAAACAAAATTCATCGCGACATTAGATTGTCTAAGTTAGAGCTATTTTCTTTAGGATCTAAGGAATGTAAAATTGAGGTTTCCAATGTTTGTCCTGAAGATAACCAATATTTTAAACAGGTTAATCATATTCAAATCAATATATTTTTCTCTCATCCAAAATATTCTTGGAAAAGATTTGGGGCTTGATAGCGAGGATTCATAGATTTTATTTTATCCCTTAAATTTTTGCTAAGCAAAAAGAAAATTTTCAACACGTCTATTAGTTCTGCTCCTCTACACCCCATATAAGAGGGCTTATGTCTGTGGATGCAAAACGGGTTGGGCATGGACCTTTTCACTAAACCGATGACCAGAGTTGTTTTGAATAAAATTTAACCTAGGCTCATCTTTTTCGAAATTCTTACAGTTTTTCTTTTTTAAAATAAAAAAATTGATTGCCAAATTGTTACTGTTTTTTCAGATTTTTATTGGCTGTATCGAATAGTTAAAGACTGACTAACAGCAATAGCATATTTGATATTCTGAATTTTCATCCTTTCAGGGTTTTCGATTTTCTGCACACTTATTTTCTTGGGAAAATTAGGATTACGTACTTTGCCTAAACAACTGTAATTTGTATTAAAAAAAAAATTTCTCAGAAGTGTATACATTTGGTCATCATCTCTTTCTACCAAAGAAACAGAAGGATGTACATGAATAGACAAAAAAATTGTATCTGCTGATTACTTTTAGCTGTAGCAAGTTAATGCAAGCAGGAAGTGAGATCAATGAAGACCTCTTCTCTGCAAGGAATTGTGAGACTACCCATAGGATGATTGAATCCGAATTCTTCCTCAGCAATACTTAACAACTTCTGAAATGAAGGATGATTCAATACTGAAATTGGAACTACAAATCGCTTCTTTTGGCTCTCCCCAACATAAACTGCAAAGAATCCTTTGGGAACATCCGTTGAGGTGGAGGCTGCTTGATTTGGAAACAGTTTAGATTGACGAAGAATCTGCTTAGCATGCATAATTCTAGGCACACTGATAGCCATTTCCAATAGTAATTTGGAGTATGAAGAATAGCAGAGGAGACTTGACTCAAGAGTGTTAGGATTCAGTAGTAGAGGAGAATGTGAGAATGCCTAGGTTGTTGTCTGGATAAGGCACTTGTATATATAGATGGAAGAATGCATATAAGAAACTAATGACCTGCAGATTGAGTGGTCAAGATGCTCAGAATCACATGGCTGTGTCTTCCAACAGATCATCAAGAAATAGGTGACTATTGAGAACAATGTACGTCTGTTAGAATGCATTATAGCCCAGCCATTCTCAAAGAATGACCAACAATCAACGGCCCCACTTGACATCAAGTTGATATAAGATAGGAAAAATTCTTTTCATGCAATTCTACAGGAAATTTCCGATGACATGCTTAGGTAGTAGTCGATTCTAAATCTGGTATCAATCCATTCGGGGTCGACTTAACAGGTCTCTTCGTACGAAATTTTGTCTTCATAAATTTGTCATCTGCGCCTGTATTAATTGTCGTTTGTTCATATCAATAGACCATCCCAGCTGGATTACATTTTTTGTCCTCCTGAAGATTTAAGAAATCTTACTGGACTTTTCAAGGCAGTTATACTACCATACAAGAAGCTTAAACAGTAACAAACACCGAAACTAGCAGCCGCTGAAGGAGAATTTATAACAGGTCCCAACCCTAATCACATGCATGCGTTCCTTCGGTGGATTAACTGGTAAGACAAATCACAAACCCAACCCTTCTGAAGAGATCCTGAAGTGTGTCCTACAGGCTACAACTAGTCCTCATCAGAACCCAAATGATTGCCTTTTATCCTAATTGATTATGACTGACGATTGCGAAATTTCCGCTACATGTCGCCAATTATATGGGTAACCGACGGAAGAATCCTGTTTTTATTTTTTATTTTTTTTGGGATTGTACAGAAGATTTCTGTCTTAATGCACATTTGTGATGGAATATTTCTAGCGTTTTCTGCATTCATTGACTATTGAAGCCTCGTTCTCACCTTTTAGATATCCTAACTCTTTGGTTAAAAGGATGTAATAAGCGGAGATAAGAAGCCAGGTCAAAACTCAAAAATTTGAAATCAGTTGTAATGTATCCAAGGACAGATTTAAGAGCATCAAGATCAAGTCACTCTGTGTAAATACTTATGGGAGCTAAAAATGTATCTGGTTTTGGAAGAAGAATGAGGCATAAAAATGTAGGACTGACTGGCAAAATATTCATGATGACTATGGCCATGATTAAATTCGAGTTCCTGATCTGAGACTGAATAGTGAATCCTATAATATTAATGACACCAATATGTTATGGACATTGATAAAAAGGAAAACATAGACAGAAAGAGAGGACAAAACTGAAGAAACAAAGTTCATTCATCTTCGGTTGATGAATTTACACTGTAATTTTCATTTACAGAAAAAATGGAGATGAAGAAAATGAGAAATTTACAATAAGTTGGAACAGGTAACTACTCTCGAATGCAAAACTGGGGTTGAGCTTTTTCAGTCCACAAAGTCAGAAAGGTATTGTTTTCTAGACTAGCCATCATTATATCTTTGTTGCCTCTCATGAGCAATTCAAACTACAAGCAAGTTCGATGAAGGCTTCTTCTGCATACGGGATTGTGAGACCACCCATTGGATGATCAAAGCCAAACTCCGCTTCTGCCTGATTTAGCAGTTCTTGAAATGTTGGTGCTTCAAGAATGAAACTGGAATCAGAAAGCCCCCTTTTTGGGATTTTCCAACATAAACAGCAAGGTGGCCTCTGGGTATTTCTGAAGCTGCAGTCAGTCTTTCGATAATCTGCTTAGCTTGAACAAGCACGGGAACTCGGAAACCCATAACCCTTATGTCACTGATAAATGTAATGGCACGATATGTATCTAAGGCTGCTAGTTAGCTAATGCGTGAAAATTTATACATCAGACGATGGGAAGCACCCTTTCCATTACTATATATGGAGCAAGTGATAAATCCCACATTCCGGCGACGAGTGAAGCGAAACTTGTCGATGTGGTCCATTGACATAAATCATGAGAGAACCATCACAATTCACATGGATTTTCCTACCAAAAGTAAACAAATTTGAAAGATATTTTCATATTATTTATCTATGATCATAATTCATAACCCACCACTTCGCAGAACAAACCAGAGGCTGCCCCACCCTGAATTGATCTCTCATTGGACCTGCTGCTGGTAATGTAATCTGTCCGTTTTATAAATGGATAAAATTGTAGGGACAATTATGTGGATTAGTCTATATCATCATTTCATCATAGTCAACATTAGCATGCAATCAATACCCTGTTTATTTGCGTCACCGCCAGGCACTAGAACAAGTGATCGGCTCATGTGATGATGCTGCTTGACACATCCTAGAGAAGTGATGATAAAAACTGGGCCTAATTCCTAAGGATGAAACATTTTATGGGAACATTAAGCCACCAAGCAAGTGATTTGTTTTCAGATTGATCAAATCCAGAAAAAATGTTAAAAGATATAAGAAAACATAGTATTTCATGCTGAGCAAAAAAAATAAATTATTTCACTCTATCAGTCAACTAATAGCAGAATGACTCAAAATATAAAAAATAAATTATTTTCAAGCTACTTATCCTGGAGTTTATTTATTTATTTTCCCCTGCTTTGAGTTTCCTTGAACAATGTTGTAGCAATAGCACAGGGGTGAATTCCTTAGGTTAACCTACGAGTAACTATTTGACTTGTTCAACGATCTTGGTCAACAGAAAGGAGATGTTACCCAACCACATTCCGAGTATATGGTGAGAGGACACCATATAATCACATGAAGCAGAAAAGAAAGGAGTTGGTAGTCCCCTGAGTTTAACTCAAAATGGTTTAAAAGTTACCTGATGTTAAATAGGGTCATTTTCCTAAATAATTTGGTACAGATATAAGAGTGGAGTTAGAGAATCTAAAATATTTTCGTTAACATACTAAATTTGTTGGTTAAGCATTAACGGTAGAAGCAGTCCATGTAAATGGAATCATGTTGCTATCAATCGAGTACTGGGAAAAGATGGTTTAGATTTGGCAAGTTTAGTTTGTGATATGTCCGATGAATGTGGATTGGCACTATCTCTCTTCTTTTATTTTGTTGCCTAGAGCCAAATTATATGATTTAGCCCCTGCTTTCGAGGTGCTGTCAGCTATATCATCCACTGGTAGAATAACTAGTTGGCCCTAAGGGGTCAAATCATTATATTTTTCTTAGTTAATGGTCAAATTTTAAGAAGAAAATTTAATTTCTTTTTCTATCCCAATGAAAATTATGATGATTTTTGATCTTTTGAGAAGGTCACTGATACACAAGAAAATTAGTTGTATGAAATAATTTTAGATCAAGATAAATCATGTACAGTTCAATTAAAGATTAAAGAAGAAAAAGGGAAACCAGGAGATTCTAAAAAGAAAAGAAAATTTTCAATTGAATCATGCTTTTTATACTGTCATTTTCCCAATTGATTGAACGGTTTGGTTGAAGTTACAGTAACACCATCTCTAATTTTCCACTTAGGGAGAATTATAACTGCTCCCCAGGGCAAAAAGGATGGAAAAAAAGTTTTGTTTACATGGTATTAGCTTGCTCTACAAAATTGTATAGGCTAATTAGTGTTAATTCTCCGGTAATCAATTCAAGCGAGAGGTGACATCAAGAAAGAGGTCTTCATCACAGGGAATTCTAAGACCGCCAGTTGGATGACTATAGCCGAACTCTTCTTCTGATAAGGCGAGAAGATCTTGAAAAGAAGGCTGGTTCAAGAATGACACTGGTATCACAAACCTCTTCAGGTTTTCTCCAACATAAACTGCAAAGTAGCCCTTGGGAACTTTCTTAGCGCTAACAACACGAGGAAGGCGGATAGCCATGGTTTTGTGATGGATGTGTGCTTCTGGAAGGGAAGACGAGGAAGATCTCAAAAAGCTTGGAAAGCGTAAGTAAACAACTTTACTAGTACTTGAGAATGTGGAAATATGTGTTGCCAATGGACTTATTTTTACTTGTATATATAGATGAAAGGGGTACAAGGTATTTGTTTCCTCTATTTAAGTGAGAGATGTGGAATGAGTGGTGAAGAGGCAGTTGCTGGGGGTCTGAACAGTAATGAGAGAGACAATGGGTTGATGAGGGGATCACATGGTGTTGTCTTCTAATACTTTATCAAGAATTCCAGCACCAAAGACTGGAAGGAAAGGTTTGCCTAGCCCTTCCGGCAAGACAGACCGACTCAGGACCCACTCAAATATGGAAGATTTGGATCCGTTGAAAGCTTTATTTCACAGTAGAAGGGTAGTACTACTACGCCATTTGTGGGCAAGCCTGAGACATATAAGCTTTCATATAGTGACAGCAAACATATAACATGGGTTACTCGACCTTCTATGTTGATTTGACTAAAAAACGAAAACTGGAAAAGAGATATTTCTTTTGCACTTGAAAAACGATTTTAGAATTGGAAACATACCATACAGAAGTAATAACATATTTAAAGATAAATTAGTATCGGGTTATAAATAAGAGAAATTAAATATGGCTCGAAGGTATCCATATAATTTTTTTGAAATGAATTTCAAGAGATGAGAATTTGAAAATTGTAATATTTGACTGGTGAAATTAAAAATTTCTCTTAAAATTTAAGTGCCATTTGAAATTGTTGTCAATTTTTAAATTGATGTTTCAAAAGTTTTTTTGTTTTGTATTGTTTTATTTTCAATTTATTGAAACTGAAAGCATGGCTGGTTATTAAGTTTTATTCAATTTATCAATTTATTAAATTGATGTTTCAATTTGACACCAATAGTGCATAGGTGAAAGTTGTTGAAGCTTGAACCAAGAAAGTGGTAAGGGTTTGATCCTATCCCTTTTTCAACTTTCTTTAAATTCTGGCATTTTTAAGGAAAAATAAAAAGTTTTGGCACTGTAGTTGTACGAGCATTGTTTACCTGCAGAAAACACTTCGGAAATTGAGCAGCAGCAATTTCGCTGCTTCCAACAATTTCTGATAATAGATCCTTACCCTTCCATCTAATTTAATTGATAATCTCCGTTTATGGTTATATCAAGAATTCGAGGTTATAAACCATCCTTTTATCCTGTAATCTAATCATTTAATATATATATATATGCATGTATGTATGTATGTATAGAAGAACAAATCTGAATAACATAACCATTGAAAAATGAAAAAGACCTTAATTGAATTGAATTGCGATTTTGATAGAAGATGCGGTTACATGATCAAATCCACCTCTAATTTCCCACTTAGGAGACTTGCATACCCACTCCCAAGGCAAAAAGGGGGTGGAAAAAAAATAATTGTATTCACGGTAATAATGGTGTTTGCTTTACAAAATTGTATTCACTGATCTATGCAAGTTCCCTCAAAAGCCACTCAAGCGAGAAGTAAGATCAACAAAAATGTCTTCACTGCAGGGAATTCTTAGACCACCGTTAGGATGATCATACCCAAACTCTTCTTCTGATAAGCTCAGTAGATCCTGAAATAAAGGGCTGTTTTAAGTATGATATTGGTATCACAAACCTCTTCTGATTTTCTCCCACGTAAACTGCAAAGCAGCCCTTGGGAACAATTCTGTTGCCAGAGGAGGTGATGCCCGAAGAATTCTCTTGGCATTAACAATGCGTGGCAGACGGAAACCCATGGTTTTTTTTTTCCCGATGGATAGATCTCAACAGACTTTTGGAAAGCGAATGAAAATCTTTTTGACGCTTATGATTGTAAAAATTACTTGGGGTTGCTAATGAAGGTGATCATGCATGTATATATAGAGGAAAGGGAATAAGGGCAGGTACTTCGGGTATCTAAATGGGCGGCATGGGCTCATAAGGGGTTCACATGGCGTTGTCTTCCAACTCATCATCAGGAATATCAAAGCAAGCCCGGAGAAAACCTTGCTCTCCTCTTCCAGCAAAACAAACGACTCAGGACCCACTCAAAATTGGAAGACAGGGATCGGTGAAAACCCTTTTGCTTATTTTAGGGGTAGAACTACTTGGTTACGTTTACATTGAAATGCTATGACTGATATTAATTATCGAAACACGTTTGGAATTCTAAGGAAATCTATAAGAATTTTCGTGAAGGTCGAACAAAGTACGGATTATCTTAAAAATTCTTATCTGATTGTACTTGTTAGTTGGAAGACATCCGGAACTCGGTTGCACCGCCAAATGAGTAGCCTTGTTTTTCACTTGAAGATGTGCAGTTATGATTATTCAATTGCTTTCAACACCTACCTTGAAATCACAGAGGAAGGTGCAGGGGAAAAGGAAAGAAAGGAAGAAATTCCACAAGTTCAGAGACTAGATTAGTGAAATTTTTGGCTTGTATTTCGTTGATGACTAAGAAATCCTTGAATAATCAAATACTTGGCCTTTAATTAGCTTTTCATTTTGAATTTATTAAAAGTAACAAAGTTACACATTTTTGTCTCAGATCAATCGAGCATGAGCTGTATATAAATTAACTATCAACAGATTTTGACAGGAATTTTCAATTTGATGATAATTTTGACAGGAAGACCATTAATGGTAATTAACCAACTATTGTATGAAGTGCGTGGCAGCGACGAGGCTTACGGACAAGTCCATGTGTACGTGAAGTTCATATGAAGATGTGGTCTACTTCTTGTCCTATTAGTTCGATTATTAGATCAAACCTGTCGAGGCTAAATCATATTGGAAGCCATGAGGCCCATGACAGCAAAGAATTAGGTATCAACCTCATTCCTGGGAGAAGCTTAGCCTTTTGAATGGACCCTTATCCAAAATAACGCAAAATATTTCTTTTTGGAACCAAGTTCCATCCAAAAGCAAATGGACCCCTCTGTTCCTGCAAGGAACATTTTCCGGCCAGAATGACAGGTTAACTGAAAGGTTAACTTCACTCCTCAGTAAAAGTGATATGTAAGCCAAAAAAAAAAAAACCAATTAAGTGATATAAATGGTGGCAGAATAAGCAATAAATGTCCTCTAGGAAATAGGAGTTTTGACAGATTATATCCACATCTGCATTATCATGTATTGTTCAAGTGTCTTAGTTAAAATGACCTATTATTGGACATCAATGGGTGATTATGAGTTTAAATGATTGTATTAGTACACAGCTACCATCAGAAACAATAGGATGAGAAGAATAAGTTGGGCTAAACTAAAAGAAATTATCGTTTAATCTATTGGTTACAAAGAATAATAAATTCACAAGGGAATGGGATCGCAGAAAACAGTTCACCATTTACACTCGCTTCCTATATTAAATCGCTGTGTTATTTAAGGTAGAGAAAGTTAATCTCTGCTACTCTCATGAGCATTGCAGACTACAAGTGAGATCAATGAAAGCTTCTTCGCTGCAGGGGATTGTCAGACCACCCATAGGATGATTAAATCCATACTCTTCTTCAGCTTGACTCAACAAATTCTGAAAGGAAGGATCCTTTAGGAATAAAATTGGGACAACGAATCTCTTCTTTTCAGCTTCTCCGACATAAACGGAAAAGTGGCCTTTGGGAACTGGCGTGGTCTCTGAAAATGAAAGAGTCCGTTTTAGACTCTGCTTGGCACTTACAATTCTTGGCAGGCGGAAACCCATGATTTTGAGAATTGAGATTGTTTTACAAGTAGTAGGTAAAGGAAATATATCTGTAGGAACTTGGAGAATTAGGAAAGGCTTTGGCACTGCGGGGTGGCTATGAATGGAATGTATATTTATAGGAAGTAAATGCTTTATGGTTGGCAATCCCAGGCTGATTGAATGGTGAAGAAAGACTCCCTAAGGAAGATCTTTAAGGACACAACCTATGAGGAATCACATGGCCTTGCCTCCCAAATGATGATAAAATTTTGACAAATTTCGTAGCAATGTCTATTCTGTTGCAATCTATCATGGCTTACCATTCAATGAAATATACCAACAATGATGGCCCATTACAATATCATTGAATAATGGCCTGCTGATAATAACTTTACTTAGCGGATCATATGGATGAAATATTGAGCAAAATAATCAAAATAATATCCAATATTTGGCGACTATGAGTTGGTTTGCCAGCCCTACATGTTTGCTGATGATCAGGATATAGATCAGAGCTGCTACCAGTAACACTTATTCTTTAACTATGTTGAACACAGAATGAAACTAGTTACATATCCATGTGAGATTGTTTCGTTTCTTGAACAAGTGAGGAACGGGATCCAAGGAACCTGGTTGGTTAAGCCTAGAACTCAAGGGCTGACAGGTTGTCCAGAAGCACTAACGAACCTAGTAATTAATGATGTTATGCTAATAGTCTGGAATTGCCGAATCTAGACTAAATATATATTAGACAAAGAAATCTTTCATTTCATTTGACCACAGATTTCTTTTGTCTTTTGTTAGGTGGAAAGTCAGCTCTTCAACCACAAGCCAATTCTCAAGTAATTACGAGCAGTGGAAAGCTCTCGTTATTATTATTTTTCTATCGTTTTCAAGAGTAACGATACAGGGCGCTTTATACATAGTTTCCAATCCATATTTTCACCTGTATGAAGATAATTGCACTTAATGCGAATCACCGTACTCAGCTGTCAAAGTTTTCAGGGTCTGGCTAAAGTTTTAGCTTGTTCTGACTAAATTGATATTCCTTCTGTTTAATTTTGTTTCTTTTTATTTGATTTTTTGTCAGATGAAAATAATTTAGACTTTTTTTTTATAAAATATCAATTAAATTAAATATTTACAAATTTTGGGTTATAGATTTTTTTATTCAACACTTAACTTTCTCTTTTTTTCATTCTGTTTTCCTATTCCAAGTAATTTGCAAAATAAATAAAAAAAAATTGAGCAAAAGCCCATAGACAAATCCTATTATTCCCCCAAAGCTATCCAAAATGGCATGAAAAACTCCAAACCTCTCTATTTCGGTGTGGTAAAATGGTTTCCAAAATTGAACCGTGGAATTTAACACAAAATACTCACATGTCAATCGCCCCTAATTGTACTAGTAAGGATTGCAGTTGAATGTCCACCTACTGGATGGCCTTATGTTTGGATAACAATTGTATTAGTAGCCAACATCAAAGCAAAAATGTCGATGACAAGACTATTTCTGATAAAAAATTTGTTCTCATTTTTACATTCATTACGAAAAAATAATTGAAGTTCACACGAGCATCGGATTGCTTAAAACAATCTACCATTTACACTTGCTTCCTATATAAAACTGCTATATTTTGTCAGCTGAGCTAGAGAGAGTTAATCTCTGCTCGGGTTAGTCATTTCAAAATCAACTCTCATGAGCTTTGCAGACTGCCAACGATATCAAGGAAAGCTTCTTCGCTGCAGGGGATCGTCAGAGCTCCCATGGGATGATTAAATCCATACTCTTCTTCGGCTTCACTCAACAAATTTTGGAAGGAATGATGCTTCAGGAATGAAATTGGGACAACAAGTCTCTTCTTTTCAACTTCTCCAACATAAACAGCGAAGTGGCCTTTGGGCACTACTGTGGTTTCTGAAATGATAGAGTCCGTTTTAGACTCCGCTTAGCATTAACAATTCTTGGCAAGCGGAATCCCATGACTTTGTGAATTGAGATTCTTCTACAAGTAGTAAATGGAAGAAAAATGAATGTGTGGGACTTGGAGAAGTAGCTAGGAAAAACTTTGGCACAGGGTAGCTATACTTGGAATGTGCATTTATAGAGAGCAAATGCTTAGTGGTCAGCAATCTCAGCCTGAATGTGTGGTGCGAGAGAGAACCCAATGGTGTTTTTAAGGACATAGGGTATGGAGAATCACACGGTCTTGCCTCCCAACTAATGATAACAAGTTTTGACAAATTTCTTGGTGTAATCTACTCTGTTGCAATCTACCATAGCTCACCATTCAATGGAACCAACAATAATGGCCCATTTCCAATATTATTATCATTGAACCATGGCCAGATGAAAATGGCTTTATTGTGCAGATCATATGGATGACATGCTATGTAGTTGAGTCCAGCAAAATATCAAAATAATCATATCCACTAGCGACTATGAGTTGGTATGCAAGCCCTACATGTTTGCTGATAAATAGGATCAAAGACCAGAGCTGCCTGTACCATTTGTTCTATGACTCTGTTCAGCGCAGAATCACACAAGTTACCAGTCCATGTGCCATTGTTTGGCGGCTTCAACAAGTGAGGAATGGGTGATGTTAGGAATTGGCTGGTTGAGCCTCGGTTTTAAGGGATAATAGTTTGAACAGAAGCACTGCCACCCTAGTATTAATGATGTTATGCTAATCCTCCAGAATCATCCAATCTAGACTAATGTGATTTATGGGTTAGACAAAGAAATCCTTCATTTTAGTTGACCTGAGTTTTTTTTCAAGTCAGACTGCTCTGGAAAGTCAACTCTTCAGCTATCATGAGGATAAGGAACTTCTAATCTATACACAAGTCAATCCTCGAGTAGTGCAAACCTCACCATGACTTTTTTGAGTGTCAGAATATAGGTACATAATTCGCTATGTGTCCTGGATTTCTTTCAGTATGTTGTCACCTCTAATAAAAAAATCCCAAAATGTATTTATCTTTTGGGATTCTTTTTCTTTGACAGATTATATCCCTTTGCATTAGCACGTATTGTTTAGGTAAGTGTCCTAGCTAAAATGAACTAGTAATATCCACCCATGGGTGATTTTGAGTTCAAATAATTGTATCAGTACGCAGCCATCATCAGAAACAATATGATGAGAATGATAAGTTGGGTTAAAAAAAATTATCATTTGATATATTGGTTAATTACAAGTAATAATTAAATTCACAAGGAAATGGGATCGCAAAAAACAATCTACCATTTACACTCGCTTCCTATATAAACCGCTCTGTGTTAGTTGAGCTAAAGAGAGTTAATCTCTGCTACTCTCATTAGCTTTGCAGACTACAAGGGAGATCAATGAAAGCTTCTTCGCGGCAGGGGATTGTCAGAGCACCCATAGGATGATTAAATCCATACTCTTCTTCAGCTTGACTCAACAAATTCTGGAAGGAAGGATCCTTTAGGAATGAAATTGGGACAACGAATCTTTTCTTTTCAGCTTCTCCGACATAGACAGCGAAGTGGCCTTTGGGTACTGGCGTGGTCTCTGCAAATGAACGAGTCCGTCTTAGACCCTGCTTGGCACTAACAATTCTAGGCAAGCGAAAACCCATGATTTTGAGAATTGAGATTGTTTTGCGAGCAGTAGATAGAAGAAATGAATGTGTAGGAACTTGGAGAATTAGGAAAGGTTTTGGTACTGCAGGGTGGCTATGAATGGAATGTATATTTATAGGAAGCAAATGCTTTAAGGTTGGCAATCCCAGGCTGATTGAATGGTGAAGAAAGACTCTCTAAGAATGATCTTTAAAGACACCCTATGTGGAATCACATGGCCTTGCCTCCCAAATGATGATAAAATTTTGACAAATTTCGAAACGTAGTCTATTCTGTTGCAATCTATCATGGCTTACCATTCAATGAAATATACCAACACTAATGGCCCATTACAATATCATTGAATCATGGCCTGTTGATAATAACTTTACTTAGCGGATCGCATGGATGAAATATTAAGAAGCAAATTAATCAAAATAATATCCAATATTCGGCGACTATGAGTTGGTTTGCTAGTCCTACATGTTTGCTGATGATCAGGATAAAGACCTGAGTTGCTACTAGTAGGACTTGTTCTTTAACAGTGTCGAACACAGAATGAAACAAGTTACATATCATGTGAGATTGCTTCGTTGCTCGAACAAGTAAGGAACGGAATTCAAGGAATTTGGTTGGTTGATCACTTGAGAGTACATATTAAGGGATGATATGTTTTTTTTTTTTTTATAATTTAAAGAAAAGGAATTGAATCCTACTTTTTAAATAAAAAAATTATATATCAATTAATAAAATAAAATTTGAGTGTTTTAAAGGATGATAGGTTGAACCAAAACACTATCCATTAGCCAACCTAATAATTACTTATAATCTTTTTTCCTTAAGTTGAAAAGTCAACTCTTCAACGACCACAGGGATCAGGAAATTTCTAATCTAAACACAAGCCAATACTCAAGTAATTACAAGTAGTGAAAAACTCAATTTGTTGCAAGTGTGACAATACATGGCACAATATATATATTAGAACAAGGGAGTCCAAAACCAAAAATAAAACTTCTATAAATTAATAATTTCAATTCAATAATATTTTTGATCAGTTTCGACTTGTGACTAACATGATAAATTAATAATTGACTAAATATATAAGAAAATATATTTAAAAAAATATATAAGTCTCACTTGATATATAAATTAATAATTTTTTTATATATCAAAACTATATATATAAATTACTTAATTAAGAAGTCTTTATAAAATATGACTCTAATATTATTTATTTTTTTAAAAATTAATGTCTCTTTGAACCTCACCTCTAATTTTTTTAATGCATTAAAAAACTTTAATGTAGTGTTCTCGTATTGTAAGAGAAAATTATGCAATTTGATTGTTGTTTTGAGTGTATTTTTGCACAAGATAAACTCTAATACAAAACTATCGTCTTCAACTTCATCTTCTTTGTCATTTTTCATAATTGTTGTTTTCAATAATTTTCTCGTTACAAATAATGATAATTCATAATTCGGTAATTAATTAATATTTGTATAATCATAATACACAATACTTGTATTAAGTTCAATGTTTTGAAAAAAATAATAAAAAATATCTTGATAAATTAATTTTTTATTAATTAATACATAAATTAATAAATTATTAATTTATCAATTAAATATATTTCGATAATTTAATAAAAATCCATGGTCCCAAACGTTTTAATTTACAAAAGTTTTACATATTAAGCAAAAGCACCAAGGTGTCTATCAATGACTTCTAATTAATTGTTAACTTTGTTTTGTACTAACGAATCAATTCTCTGAGCAATCATCAATGTATAATATGATTATCAAATTTTTATAATGTTTTTTTGTAATTAAACATTATCGAAGTAATTTAGAGAATATTAAAAAGAAAGATTGATAAAATCATTTTTATATGTATTTTCTAAATAGAGGATTTTTTTAAAAAAATCATGTTTATTTGTATAAGTATAATTGTTTAGGCATATCACACATAAGTACATATATATATGTTGGCAATTCAAAATTAGAAATAAGTATAATTTTTTTATTATGCAAAACAAAACTTTAGCATCTTAGGGAAACACACCCCATTGTATCATTCATCAGTAAGTCCTAATGTTACGAAATCATTATCCTCTTCCCAAAAGACGTGCCTGCTAAAGTGTGTAACATACCAACTTATAAAGAGTCTAAGACTTTCTGTTTCTGTCTTATGTGGAATAGAGGCACCTTTTGTGATACTCTCTTTCACCCGATTTCGGCAACGTCCTCATTGTCGTCGACCACCCTATCTACCCTGGTCCGTTAGGGCGCTTGGCGTGAGTCGGTTGAGGTCCAAGGCAACGTCCTCATTGCAGTTGACCACCCTATCTACCCCGATCTGTTGGGGTGTTTGGTGTGAGTCAGATGAGGTCCAGTTGGACATGATACCACTTGTTACGGGATCATTACACTCTCCTCAACAGACACGCCTATTAGGGTGTGTAACATGCCTGTTGGGGTGTGTAACATGCCTGTTGGGGTGTGTAGCACACCCGCTTGTAAAAAGCCCAAGATTTTCCGTTCTTGTCTGATGTGGGATAGAGACACCTTTTATAACACTAAGCTCTAGTCGAAGGATTATAAAAAATGGTGAATTTCGTATCCATAGAAAAACCTTTAACTATAAAATCAGCCAAAACATTATCCTCCCTGAAGACGTGATGAATACGAGCTTCTCATTGACGATGAATAAGAATATGAATAGTTTGAATTAAATCTAAGATGAAACATGGATGAACTAGTGGGGAAGTAATGGCTTGCAAAACAAGCTTGCCTCAACATGGAGTTCGATGACCCGAGTCCCAAGCTAAACATAATCCCGATCTGCTCCCCAAAGTTTCTCATCGTACACTTTCCAAGACAAACTGTAAATCCATCCTGCCATTCTCGAGGTTCAAAGAACTCCGCTTGCTGCCGTGAATAATTGTCTCTGTATAAGCCAAGTGGTCAAGTGTTTTATTAAATAATAATAATATTTATTAATAATATATAATGGGCAAAAGATGTAAGAGTTATCACCCGGAAATTATATGAGTTCGATTAACGATCAAAGTTATCCAAAATGAAATGAAATATTCTGTTCTGTGAGGTAAAAAAGCTTCAAAAATTGAACCGTGAAATTTAACAGAAATTTTCACATGTCCAATGCCACTAATAATACTAGTAAGGATTGTAGTTGAAGTCGGTAAGCAAGTCCACCCGCTGGGTGGCCTTAAGTTTAGATAACAATTGTAGTAGTAGCCAACATCAAAGCAAAAATATCGATGACAAGAATATGTCTGGTAAAAATTTTTTCTCATTTATACATTCATTACGAAAAAAAAATTGAAGTTCACAAGGGTATGGGATTGCTTAAAACAATCCTCCTTTTACGCTTGCTTCCTATATAAAATTGGCATGTTTTGTCACCTGAGCTAGAGTGAGTTAATCTCTGCTCCGGTTAGCCATTTCAAAATCAACTCTCATTAGCTTTGCAGACTGCCAATGATATCAAGGAAAGCTTCTTCGCTGCAGGGGATCGTCAGAGCTCCCATGGGATGCTTAAATCCATACTCTTCTTCGGCGTCACTCAACAAATTTTGGAAGGAATGATGCTTCAGGAATGAAATTGGGACAACAAATCTCTTCTTTTCAACTTCTCCAACATAAACAGCAAAGTGGCCTTTGGGCACTACTGTGGTTTCTGAAAATGAAAGAGTCCGTTTTAGACTCCGCTTAGGACTAACAATTCTTGGCAGGCGGAAACCCATGACTTTGTGAATTGAGATTCTTCTACAAGTAGTAGATGGAAGAAAAATATATGTGAGGGACTTGGAGAAGTGGCTAGGAAAAACTTTGGCGCAGGGTAGCTGTACTTGGAACGTGTATTTATAGAGAGCAAATGTTTTATGGTCAGCAATCTCAGGCCGAAAGTGTGGTGGAAGAGAGAACCCAATGGAGAAATTTTCAAAGACATAGGGCATTGAGAATCACACGGTCTTGCCTCCTAACTAATGATAACATTTTTGACAAATTTCTTAGTGGAGTCTACACTGTCGCACTCTACCATAGCTCACCACTCAATGGAACCAACAATAATGGCCCATTTCAAATACTATTATCATTGAATCATGACCAGATGATAATGACTTTACTTTACAGATCATATGGGTGAAATGCTATGTAGTTGAGACCAGAAAAATAGCAAAAAATTACATCCGCTAGCGACTATGAGTGGGTATGCAAGTCCTACATGCTTGCTGATAAATAGAATCGAAGACCAGAGCTGCTTGTAGTACTTGTTGTAGGACTCTGTTGAACGCAGAATGACACAATTACCAGTCATGTGCCATTGCTTGGTGCCTTCAACAAGTGAGGAACGGGTGATGTTAAGAATTGGTTGGTTAAGCCTCGGCTTTAAGGGATGATAGGTTGAACAGAAGCACTGACCACCCTAGTAATAGTGATGCTATGCTAATCCTCCAGAATCATCCAATCTAGACTAAAGAGATTTATGGGTTAGACAAAGAAATCTTTCATTTTGGTTGACCACATTTCTTTTGAAAGTCAACTCTTCAGCTATCATGAGGATAAGGAACTTCTAATCTGAACACAAGTGAATCCTCAAGTAGTGCAAGCAAACCTCACCTTGACTTTTTTTTCAGTGTTAGAATATAGGTACAGAATTCGCTGTGTGTCCTGGATTTCTTTGAATATATTATCACGTCTAATAAAAAAAATCTCAAAATATATTTAGCTTTTGGTAATCTTTTTGTTTGACACCTTACTAAGCCAAAACTGCTGCAAAACATTTTCTTTTACGGGACAACCCAATTTTCATGTGAAAATGAGATGCGCTTACTAGTTTGAGAAAAGTAAAAATTAAGCCCATTGTTGGAAGTTTAATAGATTGCATATAAGCAGGACATGAGATTCAAGGTTCAAGTGATCGTCGAAGATGGATTCCAGGACCAGGAGAAGAGGTGAAGGGGAAGAGCGTGAAGACTTTTGAGCCTTATAGGGAGGAGAGGGTGAGGGAGAGTCTTTGTAAAGATGGAAAATGTATTGCGCCTTTAAATGGCGAAAGACTTAAAGGCAGTTGACCCTCAAATGTTTCACAAAGATTTTCCTCCTTCCAAACACCTGAAATGCCTCTGGAACAT